AGAAAGAAAGAAAGAAAGAAAGAAAGAAAGAAAGAAAGAAAGAAAGGCAAGGAAGGAAGGAAAGAAAGAAAGGAAGGAAAGAAAGAAAGGAAAGAAAGAAAGGAAGGAAAGAAAGAAAGAAAGAAAGAAAGAAAGAAAGAAAGAAAGAAAGAAAGAAAGAAAGAAAGGGAGGCCCCATTTGCTAAATCATTGAGGGAGTCATAGCCAACAGAATGAGAAAGCACAGAATTAAATTGTATAAGGGCCACTGACTTCAAGTATTTTCTATGAGTAGATTCTCAGCACCAATCTGTGTGCTGGGAACCTTCCAGAGTCAGAGGCTGACCCCTCCCAGCACCAGATGGCGACCTCCCTGTCACATTTTTTTGTGACAAAGGGACAGAGCAGGTGCTTTTCTCAAGACTGCCGATTCTTGCCTGGTAGAAACTCCACTCACCAATAAACTCAGCTCACATTCTCCTTGTGCTTGCTTATTCCTGAGACAGATGTGTCCCCAGGAGAATGCTAGAATTGTAAAACCAAGTGTGGAGCTCAGAATCTGGGGGGTGGGGGGCAACTGGCAGCCATAATGGGGACAAACTTGTGTACAGGATGCTAGATGGGTGCTGAAAGGGTTTCACAGAAGCAAGGCTTGAATTTCAATGGAGAACAGAAAATAGATGTTCTCAAAGCCCAAGGCAGAGACCACAGGGAGCAGAGCTGCCCATGGCTTATAAACGAATCATCACATACACCTTCAAAATTACAGACAGGAAGCCAGCCAAAGTGAGTAAAAACTGAGGTGAAGAAATCAGTACTAGTTCTGTTAAATCATCAGAGTTTATCAACCACTCGATGCACAGGAGGGGGTCCATTTGAGTCTCGTGGAAGCCCCATGCATGACCCTTACCTCCATTTTCTCAGACTAGAACATGATTTGAAACCCGCCAAGTCTTAACTCCCAGATCCAGCAGACCCCAAAGTTCCACCTGACTCCACAACTTTAGCCTACAACTCTTAGTCCTAGCCAACTCCCCCCCCCACCGCCTCCAGCTACCATCAGACCCCAGCTACAGCTGACACCCCCTGCTGTGGCTGAGCCACAGCTCCAAGATTTACACTGAACAGCTTGGTTCAGCGTGGAATGAGATGGAATTGAAGTCAACAGAGGAAGCAAGGGCAGGGATGAGGCTGGTAAACCCAGGAAAGCTGATGGTGGCTAGAAAGAGATTCCTGACCTTTTTGCTTTTGGATAACTGGTAAGGTTTAGAAAAGAGAAGTGAACTGTTGAGTTTCAGATTGTTTTCATGGGAACTAACACATGGGGGCCCAAGGGCTTCTGACACAAAACTCAGAGCCCCAGCCAGCACCTCCTTCTATACCAGAACTACGGCTCAGAAGTGTACACTCCTAACCGCTTACCTACACAAAGTTAATTTTTAAAGTGGTTTTTCTCTGCTGCTCTACAGACTATCATTTTACACTCTGTTCTGACAGTTTCTTGGATTCATCTTCCAATCACTTTAATTTCAGCAATCCATTTTTAATTATTTCCAGGAGATGTTTTCCATTCCCTTGTTTTCCACAGCCTGCTGTTTGGGGTTTTGTGGGTGTAATATCTTCTCAAGTCTCACTGAAGATCTAATTAAAATTTTTTTTTCAAAAGCTTGTCTCTAGTCTCTGAAAGATGTACTTTCCCCGAGGTCACTCTATTCTGTTCTCTGATGTTTTGCATGCACAGCTGGCTTTTCAAGTCTGGTGGCTTTGGCTATCTGTCTACATTTAAGGATGAGGGCTGAGTTTATTTTGTAGAGCTGGTTTAGTTTCTTGCATGGTTGTGTATATGCTACTGGAAAGTTCTAGATGTAGGGTGGAGCTGTCTGCTGGAAGACTTTGCTTAAGAAGAGTGCGGAAGTAAAGAAAGACCATCACATGGATCCCAGAAAAGGCCGATTATTCAGGACATGCTATGTATGAGGGCTGCAGCTATTACAGCTTGCATTTTGGCAGAGAGTTAAAGGCAAGGAAGGAAGGCTTTGGGTCTGCCCTAAAATGTGTGCTATTGGCAGGGGATGCTGGAAATGAGGTACTCTGGGTCCCATATGGCTGAGTAGGATAACATTTGCTTTTTCCTTCTTGGTCCCAGTTGAAGTCATGGATTCAAAAACTAGGGTAGTGGCTGGAGAGATGACCAATGGTCAAGATCACTCATTGCACAATCATGGGGACAGAGTTCATATCCCACCACCCACATAACAAGCCAGGCACTATGAAAACACCTTTAACCCTAGCTCAGAAGATCCAAAACTCTTTCCTGGCCTCCATATCTTCTCCCATGCGTACATTCCCACACACATGTGTTCATATGCCCACACCCACCCACACAGATAATTACACACACTAGAGAAGCTTACAGTGCTCATCTAGTTCTTGCTACCTGTGCGTCAGGAATGAAGATACTCTAAGGAAACCTTGTGTCCATCCCTTTGTCTGTCAGACTACTGACACCATGGTCCTCAATATAGGGAAATTTTCCTAGGAATATCATGCTGGGAGAAGGAACAGGCCAGAGCCTGGTGCCAGCCAGAGGGAAACTTGTTTCCCAGACAGAGATGTCACACCATTCTGACAGCCTAGCAGACCACCTTGCGGGGAAGACTGGAGCTGAGACAAGTATGGATGAGATTACTCCTTGACCATGACTTTGGTTATGCATCCTTCTTGCTCTCTGTTTAACCCTAACCCTCACATCAAGACTCCAAGTCCAAAGGTGGACTCCAAGAAGTGTTACTGGACCCCTCTGTTCTTCCATTGTAGGCACATTGAGTACATCTCTCTTTGTTTTCCACTACAGTTTGTCTCCTTAAAAGGCTGATTGAGGAAGCAGACAGAATTTCTGGTCCTTGTAAATTGATACTTTAATATAGTGTAACAATCTAAAAAGACAATCTTTAAGAACTACAGACAAGACATCTGTTAGAAAAGGAAGCACGAGGGACTCTGGGAGGATAAAGAGAAGGCAATTTAGAGGAAATAGATTATGATAAAGACACCTTGAGAAACTGGGTTTCCAAGGTGTGTTCTTGGGGCAAACAGGGAGTCCTAGGGGAGATGAAGCAAAGGAACAGAAGATGATGGGTAGAAGAGTCCAGGGCTGAGGCAGATGAGTTGCAGATATCGTGCTTTATTTCTGTGGAGACAAAGAGAAAATATTTAAATGAAGACTCAGAGGGAAATGCTCCAGCTATAAACCTCTGGCTCAGCACCAGGCCTGGGCCATCTGCTGAGATTAGAAACTCAAATCTCTGGGCCCTTGGGGGCTTTCTGGCCACAGTGTAGGGTCTGGGCAAGCTGGTCCTCATAACCAGCTTTCTGAGTTCACAGCCCAGACTGCTTATCTTTCCTCGGCCATATGCAAGGATAAACTTTCCAGAGGCCCGAACTCCACCCAAGGGTGAGATTCAGAAACCTGAGAGGATTATTTTCGGGGTAAGAACACTTTACACAGAGTCTAAACGTTGGCACTAACAACAGAAAAGGCAGAGGAGCTTAAATCATTGCCGCCTCTCTGAGCTCTGCCATCTGTCTGCAGAGATGAAGGCTATGTCAGAGGATTCTAGAACAGCTGCTGATTGTGAAGCTGATGGGCTCTGGCCCTCTGACTGTTTCATGCAGGAAGAGCCTAGCACTTAATAGGCTGTGATTACTTTCATTCAGTGGCAAGCTTTGGGGAAGGGGGAGGAACAATTTTTTCCTAGACTAGAATCCGGTGCTATAGCAAAAAACCTCAGGAAGCCGGGTTTCTGATGGGGCTCATTTCTGAAACAGCTTAGTTCAGCTAATCCTTTGTGGACATAAATCATGTTTAACCTCCTTCCCTCCAACCCCCTCAGAGTGTCACAATAGCTGCGGAAAGATGTGGAGTGCAGTGGGTTCATTAGTAAGTAATCACTAAGTTCAAAGCCCATTTCCCATCTCCGAGAAGCTGAGATTTCTTCCCAACGTGTCTGTTTTTAGTGTAATGATTTTAATCAGCACTGTTTCAGTAGCATAGAGCATGCCACATGAATTG